TATTTCCTGGGATGTTCTCTCCTCCAGGAGCCTCAGGGACCCCAACCCAGCCCAGCCAGGAATTTCTGTATTTCCTGGGATGTTCTCTCCTCCAGGAGCCTCAGAGGCCACAACAACCCAGCCCAGATTTCACTTCCAGATTTCAATGAACACCTAATTTCTCCTCAATTAAAATGTGGAACTCCAGTACCCCACACAAGTGGATTTTCTTGAATAGCCTGTGCTTTGAGGCTCTCCAGACCTTGTGGCTCCAGCCTGGAGGTCTGAAGTCAATGAGGTGAAGCTGCTCCTCAGCTCAGGCTTGACTCAGGATGGCTCTAATTGACCCCTAAATTCCAGGGTGTTCTCAGGGATACAGTTGAGGCTGGATAAAATTGAGAAATTCAGCATCTGAACATGCAATAATAATAATAATGAAGTAACGGTTAAAGTGAAAGTGCAGCAATGAGAAATTCCTGTTATGAGAATCCTCCTTTAAACAAAAATTATAGAAATAATTAAACAAAAGCTGCAATCCACACTGAGAGAGAGCCCCAGATCATGGCAGACCCAGGCACATTCCCTGGGAGCCTCAAAGCCTGGTTTTCTCCACAATCCAACAATGTGAAACTCCAACAAATGTTGCATTAAATCTCTCATAACTCCCAAATCCACATATGCAGAGTTGCTATAGCAACTGTCAGCCCAAGCCTTCCCAGGGGAGAAAATAAAAGTGTGCCCTACCTGGCTAATTGGTATTTGTGTTACAGAGAATTGAAGGGTAACTTAGTTCCACCAAAAAATAGAACAGAGAGTGAAGTGCTCCTGTGCTAATGTGACATTATTTAATCTGAACAAGGACCCATTTTGCATGTGCCTTCAAATTATAGTATTTATGGAACACTCAACACAATAAGTAAAAGTGTTGCTGCCAAATATGTCTGACTTGCCCTGCTTATTGATTTGAATAAAAGGGGCATTGAAAAATAAAAAAAAATAGAGAAACAAGAAAGAAGGTGGAAGAGCTGATGGGATTAGAGACTTCAGATTTCATTACAAAACCTACAAACCCCCCGACCCAAAACCCCAACAGTTTACAACTGAAAGTTCATCCAAAAATAAGCTGATGGAAGGTGACAGCTCTTTTCCCTATTTCAGCTTTTCCCTATTTCTCATCACTGCAGGAAGAATAAAGCTCCCAGGCAGGACAAGCATGCTGCCTGAACAACAGCCACCCCTCACTCAGAGGCACAATTAGAACTTTTTTAACTTGAAAAAAGCCCCGAAGGTCACTCAAGAGAAGAATCCCAGTGGCAGGATGTATTTCAGGAGCACACTGACAGTTCTCACTGCCTTATAAACACATCCAGCAATGCGTTTTTTAATCCTAGCACAATTACTAAATAAAAGCAATCAGAGCTCTGAGGCAGCAGAACCTCTATGAAACATGGAGATACAACAATGACATCTCCCTCTCTATCAGCCCAATGACACAACCTGAGAAAATGAGATTTCAGGGGAACACTCAGCTTCCCTGTGGGCAGCCTGTGCCTCCCACCCTCACAGGTGGAATTCCTTCCAGGTGCCCAGCCTAAAGCTCCCCTCCTCCAGCTACAAGCTGTGGTGGCTATCAAGCACACGCTGAAGGGAGGACCTTCCTGAGCAGAGGCAGCAGCAGCCCTGCCCCAGAGCTCCTCCAGGCTCACCCAGCACTTCCAGGACCTGTGCTGGGCAGAGAACACAGCCTCGGAGCTGCAGGGTGGCCAGGCAGG